TCCAAATTACAAAAGCATTGATGCAACTAGTATGCACACCTGACGCCATCCTGGGGGATAAGCCATAGACTGACTGAACACTGGCACTGAGCAGTTTCTCTGTTCCTTTCCACCACTGAGCCAGCCATGATTCATACTCTCTCCTCCCCTCGGTGAGAATCAGGCTTTCTCCCACTTCTCCAATTGACTGAGGTGTTAGGACTGTAGGTAACACACACACACATCAGTCCAGGAGATCACTGTGCTAAAGTGGGTTTGTAGCATTAGGATGGAAGTGCTCTCACTGATGTCAGTGAATCTGCTCTTGTCTTTTAAGCTAAGAACAAATGTCCTTATCTTACAGCATCAGGTACATAGGCAGTGAGGTATCAACAAAAGTACTCATTGTGCACTTTTTCCTCTATGTAGTAGCTAAGCTGGGGAGTGTTCATGGCTGGCTGGCAATGGAAATAGCTGGCATGCTCAGTCGGGAAAGGAAGAGTCCTTTGTAGTTTAAGGGGGGGGAAAACAACAACATCAAAAACCAAACACAACAAAAAAAAAAACACAAAAAAAGGAGATTACAGCACAATTTGTTGAAAACTAACCTTTGCATGTTGAACAGGAGCTTAGCGTGTTTAAATGGTAACAATAATGAGACCTAACTTTGCCTTTTAAAATGATACCTGCCATGTCATACTGCGTGCATTTCACACCTTCCTAAGGAGCACTACTCATTACTGCTTTTGGGTACTAAGTTATTTATTTGAAAAGAGCTTAGATACAATAAATAGAACATGCACATAGCATTTGCATTTGAAATAAAGAATGGTTTCCATGAATATAAATTTATGCAACCTGTGCATATACATTAAATGCACACTTTGCATTACTGTAAATATTTAAAATGAGCCAGGTGATATCAGAAGATTAATTTTTCTGTGAGTTGTAACTTTCAGTATTGTAAATTCCAGATTTACTGCCATAACATTTTCCCCCCACGTGCATGTATGAGTATACGTATGCAGGTACACATACCTTTGATATGTGAATATACCCAAAGCTAATAATTTTCTCTCTCATGCATACACATTCACACACCCCCATCGGCAGAGTCAGCCTCCCTGCCTCTCAGAGGGCTAATGCCAGATGCTGTCCTGCTGTCTCACATAAGCTGGACTTCTGGCCAGGTTGTAGGACAGACAACAGAATACTTGCTACTTTAGACCTGAATAGTTAATGTTCTTTCATACCAGACAGGAGAGGAAGCATGGTATTTATACTGTTCCCCTACTTTTGGAGTCTGTTTTGCAAATGAGTAAAACTCTTCTGTAGGTACATAAAAATCAATCTGTTGTAGTCCTAGTGTAATTAATTATGAAGAAAATTGCACCCAAACCACTTGACATGGCAGGTGCTACAATCCACTGCAAGTGAAGGTACGTGCAGAAAATCCCTGTTTGTTGCAGGAATGGGCTTTGGTTGTGGTCCAGTCTCCAGCTTTGCATTCTCTATTAAATACAGCCCATTCTCTGGAAACGGCTTCACTGGTGAATCGTAAACAGAGATTAATTTGATTTACTTTAAAGCAGTTAAGCCTGTGCTAAGATGAAGAAAAGGCCACTGTCTTGAATATTGAGTATTTTCTTTCCTTCTTGCTTGGCAAATCTCCTTGAATTAATTGATTGCCACCATTCTGGGAGGAACTGCTTGAACTGTGGAACTCCCTGGTCACGCATGCTATTGAACTGAATGACCTCTTCAAAATATCTCCTGAGAAGTAATAATTCACTTTTTTTCTGATGTGTTTGTCAGTATCGTTAGAGACAATCTGCATTTGAACATGTACTGCGCATGTAGCAGATTATTTATTACTTCAACAACAAAAAAATAGCTGGTTCATTGGGTGTCAAAATAATTTGAACATTGCTACTCAGAAATTGCTTTCTTAGCCATGAGATTGGTTTAATTGCATTTTGCTGGGGTTATTGCTTGAAAATTAAGCTTTAACTTAATTGGCAGTTGACAGATACACCTTGAAAATAAGCTAGCAGTGACCTAATAGCTTGAAAACGGCAGCAAAACATTCAATTTATTTCTGAAAGAAGTCAAATAAAATACAGTTGTGATCCAAAATGGGCAATTTCTTTCCATCTTGAAAAAGGGCAGCTCAGCGGGTGATGCCAGTGTAGCATTTATAGGGACTGGGTGACGCGCTCCAAAACTGCGTGGAGCAGGGTGAGTAAACTGTCCATATTCAGATTGGGCCAGAGACTGTCTTGGTAGCAGGCAGCACGATTGTTATGATGAAACTATTGGAGAGCAGTCTGGGTCCCCTCTTTTAAATGAACAAGGAGCAGCTTTGAAGTCCCGATTAAAATGGCTGTAGCCTTAAGCCAGGCAGTTAAGAGTCAGCGAGGGAAAATGAAAGTGTCTTTTTGTAAAGAGGATACCACCAGCCTTAAACTGAACCAGCCTTGTTTGCAAGTGAAGGATCTGGTGCTGCTTTCAGATTTTTAATCTTGTTTTTGTTTTTTGTTTTGTTTGTTCTTTTTTGTAAGCTTTAATCACTGTTTGTCATTGTCTTAAAACCAGCTGGTGTCTCTTGTTCATCAACTTTGGTACGATGGTGCTTTGCAAGGATGTATTTATATTATAATGACCAACATTTGGTCAGCCCTATTCACTCATTCACTAACTTTTTTTTTTTTTTTTGTAAAATAAAGTGCTTTACTTGTAAGGTGTATATAAACCTTGTACAAAAATCCTTTCCAATTATTACTATAAACTGAGTTGTAACAAATGAAATGTTGATTTTTATAATAAAACTAAGAGTGAAAAAGGAGAGCAACTCTTCATTTTATTTCAGCATCTGGAGGACAGGTAAGTAAAGGTGAAAATCTGTATGTGTCTCTGCTCTCCATAAAAGCCAGAATGTGCTCAGTTTTCCGATGCTATAGGCAGACTTTGCAAACACTCATGCATTTGCCTGAAACACGTCCTTGACTTCAAGCAGTTCTGTTGATTTCAGTTATTTTGCAGTGCAACTGGATACATTTTAAAGCTAAAAGTCTCCACTGTTGATCACTTAGATTGATTTACAGGAGAATACAAACCAGACAGTTTTACCAAATAAATCCTTATCAGACTCGAGATGCCTGGTGTTTCTTTTGGAGACTGCTGATCTTTAAATCTGTATTGAAATGTTCACAAAGAGAGAAGTGTTTAAAATGTAAAAGAAATTCCTCTACCTCCCACTCTGTCCATCCTGTTGGTGTAACAAGTCGTTGGATAGGGAGCAGTTCTGAATTTATAAGCTTAGCGCAGGAATTCCCACTCCACTTGCATCCACTGGTTGTGGAAAAAAATATGGCTTTGTATTAGTATATTAGTATATTAGTGTATTGGTATTTGTATATTAGAATCTTAGTAGATTCTTTTACCGCTCCAGTTTTTCTACCTGAAGACATAGACAAGCCACATATCTCTGCCCATATCAGTAAAACAGGACCTATATTTATCAGTCTCACAAAATTTTGTAAAAATAAATGCTACCCATTCTCAGTTAGTGCACCATGCTTTCCTGTTTCAAGGTGCTATATTTATTCTACCTTGGAAAATGAACCACTGGTCTGGAGCTGCTGGGTGCGCTGTTTTTCTCTAACTATTCCAGCTGTGAATTGCTGCTGGTCTACAGAAGGCTCACCAGCTGTTTTTTGGTTTTTTTTTTTTTTTTGTTTGTTTGTTTGTTTGTTTGTTTGTTTTTCTTTTAAACTATGGTGGCTACCTTTCTACAGAGTCTGTGCAGTTGTATTACAGTAGAAGTTTGTGTATAGCATTCATGTTGTTTTGGATTCCCTGCATCTTGGTGTTTTGCAGATACAGCTGTTAAGCATCAGGGTGCATCTCAAATGCAGCTCTTCACAGCGCATACCAGAGAGATGGCTGGGGGGGGACACACACCACAAAGAGTGGGATCAGCCCTATCAATGAGCCACTTGAGCTAAATCTTGAAAAAAAGGAAAACTCTCTAAGAGGGTGTATAGCTTAGGAAACAGAAGTAAGTTGTGTTTCAGCTGCAGCTCCACCACGTGTCTTGTCTGTGCCAGTTACCAAGGCCTCCGGAGGCAGCAGAGCTGCTGAGATCATGTTTACCAGGCACCAAGGGGCAGCAGGCATAGTAAGGGATACTGGAGTATTTTCCATCATTTAAAAAAAATATTTGCTACCTGTCTGAGAAAAGATGACTTGGAAGCCTGAAGAGAACTGATTTCCTTTGTGTGATTCTGTGTCTTCCCTTGCACATGTGCACACGAGCAGAGGTGACTGCGAGTGCTGGGATTCTACCCTTTGTTTTGGTAGAGGGAAGAACCCTCTGTTAAGAGCATAATGACAAGATTTTTTTTTTTTTTTTTTCCCTTTGGATCCAACAGTATTGGCGGCACTTCTCTAAGAAGGTGAGAATGCAAAATCACACACTTCTCTAAGAAGGTGAGAATGCAAAATCACGCGCTTGTTCCTGGAGGGGAACTGCTGAACGTGTTTAACCTGTTTTCGGAGGAGAGTTTGTAGCTAGCTGGGCATGGGAATCGAGGCATGTTTGCTAGAACTGCCAGTCAGACCCCTGCCAAGGGGAAGTTTTGCCTTGTATCAAACCTGCTGTGTGCAGCAGCTGTTCCTGCATCCCTTTTCCTGGTGCATCAGGTTGGGAATGTAAGATATGGCTGGGCTTAGGGACTTTTTTAAAAGTAAAACAATAACAACAAAAAACTCATTTCTCCTGTAGAAACTGCATTTCTGGGTAAACAAGCTTTACCTTGCTCTTGATCACCACAAGATCTGTGATGGCAGCCAAATGCCTGTTTGTAGGAAAGAGTGGGTGCTGCTGGCCCTCCCCTGCATACACCCTCTGTTGCATAAAGAAACTGCTTGGTAAGAAAGGAGGGCTGGTGCTTGGGTTAGCTGGCTTGGTGTGCCACAGCAGCGGTCTGACCACAGCTTTGCCTTCACAGCAAGGTACCTTTTTCATGAGTTTAAGGCAAATGCTCTGCAGAAACTATGAAGTTTGCTTCTCTGAGGACATGTAAAGAGTATCATTTGGCTCTGAGGAGATGGAAGATTCCATGTGGTAAGTGTTTTCTATTTGTCAGTGTTGCCAAAACTCTTAGCCCTGTCTCCCTGCCAAGAATCCAATAACCACCTAAACCTGCAGAGCACTTGGCTGGGAGGGAATGACTGAGTGACCCACCACCAAGCTCCCACTGCCTTGCCCTGAGCAACATGCTGCAAACCACTGATGATGCCTGCTGGTAGTTTGGTAAATAAAGGGCCAGAGGCAGCTCTGATGGCTACTGGGGTGCTGGGAGCCTGTGGTAAAGCGCCCGGCTGTCCCAGGAGGAAAGCCCAGAAGCCTTCACCGCAGCTCAGGTGCTGTAAGAGCTGCTCCCAGTTTCCTGGGCGACTTCCCTGTGTAGGTAGAGCAGTAGGAAAAGGTTGCACATCAGGGGTGGGCAGAGAGGACCAACGTAGCTGGAAGGGCTGTAGGGAGAGAGGAGAGGTGTGATGAGGTGGTTGTGTTTGTGATCCGGGCTCCTCGTTCCTCTCCGAGGATGTACATGGAGGGGAACCAGGAAAGTAGAGCGTTAAAAAAGATGAATAAAGGACGCAGGGCATATGGTAGGAAGGGTTCTGGACGTGTGTGGCAATAAGAAAGGATGATGTTACAGGTGGCTTCCTTAAGTCTCTCAGGAACGCAGCAATTGCTCCTCAGCATTGCTGTAAGAACAGCGTGCCTGGTTGGCGTGGCAGGGACCCCAGGAGCAGTAACCTGGCAAGGGTGGAGAAAAGGAACAGCTTGGGCAGTTGGGGGCAAAGGGCCAGAGGGGTCTGGCAGAAAAGCAGGGAGTCCTGTGTTTCCGGCACCCCATCCGTGCTAGGAGTGAAATATTCATTACGGGGCCTGACTCCTGTGGGGCCAGACGAGATCAGCTAAGGAGGGAGCAGAGGAGACAGTGTGAGAGAGGCCCCATCTCACCGAGACCCCCAGTACTCCAGCAGGGAGGAGAGAATGAATGTGGGAGAACAGGACACATAAGCACCCCCCTGTCCTTGCCCCCTGCCATCTTGGTACTGGACGAGTGGGGAAGAAGGGGCATGCTGAAGCAACCGAAAGCATTCCCTTGTGTTCACATCCATAGGAAAAAAAACGGTGGGAATAAAGAAGTGAAAGGGGAGTCAGTGGCTGTGTGTGAGGGGAAGGTGCCCGGGCTGATCAGGTCCGGCACTGGGTAAGGCCTCGCAGCGGCTGTGGCCAGCGTGAGCCGGTTGCTGGATTTGTGACCTTGGAGATGTGCTCAGTTTCTCCCTGCCTCCATTGTGTCTTTAAAGCAGGAAAAGAAAACACCTGTGAAACAAGCAAGTTCTGAAGCGAAGCTGCAGAAACCTCAGTGCCTCTGGTTCCCCTGCCTCACCTGGCGAAGGTCCGGGCAGGCAGGGGAGCGGGGAGAGGCAGTGCGTCACGGCTGAGGGAGCCCGTGAGGGTAACATGGTGAGGTAAGATGTTTTCTGCTCAGGCCTTCGTTGATTTGGCTCACAAGAAGGGAGCTGTGCCGCTTTTGTTCCTAATTGAGGAGCGGCTGGACAGAAATCAGCATGGTGGCTTCACAGGGCAGAAAACGTGGCTGTGCTGGGCGCTTTGTGAGACCGTAAGGGCTTCCTGGGGGGAGCGATCCCTCTCGGGCACTGCCCCGACTGTGCCTTTAGGCAGCGAGGCACTCTCACGCCAGCAAGAGTTACCAGTTTGCCAGGGTTTGGGGCTGGCTGGAGGGCAGCAGGCAAGCTGGAGGAGATGGGGGCGAGGCGTCAGGAGTCAGCTGAGACGCCCCAGCGTGCCGCGAGCCCTCCGTCCTCCCGTACGCTCGCTGGTGCTCGCGGGAGCTCCCGGGAGCTGCGCCTGTGTACGGCCTCTTCCCTGCCTTGTACCTCCCCTGGCTCCCACAACGTGGAGTGCCTAATGAAAGCCAGACCTTGGCCTCCAAGGGCATTTCATGTGCTTTTGTGGCTCATTCCGTAGCGGAGGCCGCCATTGTCCTCGCTGTGAAATCGCGTTTGGCTGCTGTGGAAATGAGCGTGGTGTTGCTGACGTGCCAGTTTGACTTCGGGTGGGAAGCGAGCAGCAGGTGAACCCTGCAGATGAAGAGCCAGATTTTAGGCAAACATGCCCTGTGCTGAAAAGACAAAGAAGAGAAGATCAGAAAATGACCCTTACTGTGGATGGGAGGAGAGTTTGTAAGTGAATTCTTGATTAAAATGGCTCATGAGGCAATAGATGCTTTAAAAAAATAATAAATCCATTGGTGTATTTTTCCTAACTTTATGGTTTTCAGGCATGCTCTGTTTGCTGGAGACAGAGTGATTCCTCCCTTGACGCCACTTTCTTCTTTCCATCCTGTGAGTGTTTTGAGGAACCCTGTGGCTGCAGCATTGCTGCACGAATGGCTTAACGTGGGCTGTTGTTCTGAAACACAGCTGTTAGGGATGAATTACTTTATGGAAGATAACCACTTTCAGATGCTTCTAATAGAAAGTTGTTCCACCAGCAGCACTAATAACAAAGGCTGATTTTTTTTTTTTTTAAAAAAAAAAAAAAAAAAAAAAAAAGAACGTACTTCTCTCTCCCATCCTTCCAGTGCGATGCTCGTAAGTCCTCTCCACACTGCCTTTGCACTGCATCCACCTCCCCAAAACCCCCGGCCCCCTGCTTCATCCCCCTTGGTTTTGGCCCAGCATCCAGTGCTGGGCTGAGGGCAGCTGGTGCTACGTTGCTCCTCGGCAGCCTGGCCAACCTCTCGAGGTCCTCCTGTCCCCCCTCGGGGTGGGGGGGCTCTGGCGTTTGCAGGTGTGAGGGAAGGAGGTGGTATTGGGGGGGGGGGAGATGGGCGCAGAGGTTTGACGCGGCGGTGACGGGGAAGGGTGGCAAAAGCTCCCTCCCAGGGAGAGGGGCCCCTGGGAAGAGGAGCGCACGGGCGCGGGGCACCCTGATGGAGAGGGAAGCCCAGCACCACTTCTCCGCAGGCACTCCTGCACCCCGGCGGGTCCTGAACAGCTGGGGAAAAGAGCTGGCATGGGTTAAACTTGAGTAATTGAGTAGGAAAGATGTGTTCCTTCAGATTTTGAAGGAGAGGAATGGATACCAATTGTCTCCTCTACTAGCATCCCTCTGTCTCCCAAAAAGAGACAAAAAATACTCAGAAGTCAAAAATTAGACAGAAGTACGGGCTTGTCATAAATCCGGAATCTGAGGGAAAGTTATTTGGTGACTGGCACCAGGTAAAGAAGAGTTGCTCTTGTTTTTTCCCAGGTCTTCTTAGAAAGCACAGGTCTGTCTGTCAGCACAGGGGGGCGTGGGAACAGGTGGGCAAGGGAGACCTGGGGTTTTCTGCTGCTTTGAGATACCTGGCTCCTTCCACACTCTTTCCATCTGATGTTTGAATCATCCTTCAGCTTTAGATGACTCCAAAAAGAGAGGACCAAGAGGACGGACGAGATGTAACCCTCATGTCCCCATTGTTCATTTCCCTGAGTTAATTTTATGTTGGTAATAAAACCTCTCTCTCTGTGACTGTAAAAGGCATCGGGCAAAGAACCTGTAGGGCTAAGAGGGCTTGGCAATTCAGATTCACCATTCACTGCAGGGTTTCTCCAACATTTGTTTCCAATTACCTGGCATTTGTCTTGCTGTTGTGCACAACTAGCTGCTGCTGCTGAAGCAGGTACTTGGTGGATTTGGTCTCCTGGCTCTGGCATGCCACTGGGAGCCAACTGCAAGTCATGAAAAGATTGTTTCAGAGAGGGAGGGTGTGCGTTGGTTTTCTTGTTTTGGTTTTGGCAAGACGCTCTTCTTTATTGCATATCTGTGTGAGACCACTTCATATTTGAAATGATCCCTGGTCTCTTCTATTCCTGTATTATTTTGTGACCTAGAAGAGTTGGGGGGAAAAATAAAAAAAGCATTGCAAGCAAGGATCATGTTAAATATGAAGATCCCTCCCTTCTGCACAAAGGAGCTTTGCTACTCATAAGTCTAAAAGTCCTTAGAAGGAATTGAATTTCACATGCAGCATCAAGAGTAAGAATATACTCCTCTCTCTCTCTCTCTCATTCTCTCTCTGTTACTGCTGCATTGCAACTGTGACGTTGGTTTTGTATTTAATGATTTCTGCATTGGTTCCTTCCAGACAGAATAGATTCAGTGATCTGATGGATCTTTTACACCTTTGTGGTTTTTTAATGTGTTTTATATAATCTATATTATCTATATCTTTATACACCTAGAAGAGCTCAGCACCTTATTTGTAATTAGAGCTGCCTCCACTGTTTTCATTGCAATTTTTTCAGGAAAAAACACAAATACTGGATTTTTGGAGTTTTGTATATTTTTATCTTGGTATGTGCACAAAGAAAGTGACAGCCCATCCCTCTAGGGAATACCTATAGCAAAATACTCAACATTGCAATAGCTGTGAGAGAGCCAATCTTTGCCTGTCCTTGGGCTGCTAGAAAGAGGGACCCCAAGGCCAGAAGGTAATTAGCCAACTTACTTTTGAGCTGAGATGCTTGATAACGTCTGCACCAAATCCTCATCAATGAACCGTGAGCTCACATGCATAGGATTAGCAGCAAATTTGTTCCCATGGTGGTTTTCAGCTCACTTTGCTTGAGTCACTGTAGGTAAAACACTGTGATACTTGCCAACCCTTTCTTTTGAAAAGCTTTAGTAGTGGTGGGGCAACCACTTAATGGTGGTAATTAGTGTTTTGCAGGTTTTCCTGCTCCTCTTCCCCATACGAGAGACCCTGGTGTACATATCCACACGGATGTAGCTGCATATTTTCCTACGCTTTGTCCTATGGTCTGTCCAGGCAGGAGAAGAGAAGGCAGTGTCAACCTGTAACTGCCCGCTTGTTTTTCACACTGCTGGGGTGACAGAACTGTGCCCAGGAGGGGATGCTGAGCATCACCCCTCAGGGGCCCAGTGGTAAGCAAAGAGGATAAGCAGTTTGCTCAGTAGCACTTGAGGGAGTGGGGAGAAGAAAGTTATCCCAGGCCCTCCCACTTAGAGCAAAATACAGTTTATGAATCTTAAAACCTTTTTCAAAAGCAGAAAGTAAAAAGAAAACTTAGCCTTCAAAGTGATTGTGAGTCACTCCCCTTCAAAGCATTTCCATGGATTTCTTGAAGTTTCTTTCCAATGTGTATTCCAAACGTTTTTGTGGGGATGATAAATTCTTCCTGTCTCACATTTAATTTTGGTCCATCAAACTGGCTCTCATTTTGGTTTTTCTTCTGGCACTAAAGGCTAATTTGCCTCCTTTAATTGAATGCAGACACTGCATCTAACATGACAGGCACTACCCACTCAATAATGGGATATTGTCTTTCCTGACTCCTACTTGCCTTAATTAAAAGCAGAGGCCTGACCTCAGCACTGAACTCTGCCCTATTCCTTGCTAATACTTTTACACATCACTTCACACTAAGGCTCGACAGAGCACATGCGAGTTTTTTCGGGCTTGCTAGCATTGCTTGTTTGTTTGTTCCAGTTTTAAGGGCAAGTTTCACTTAATCGGAGGGAGGTTCCCCCTGGCTTGGCTGGGGCCGGCCCCCCGCGCCGGCCGCTCTCCACCTGCAGGGACGCAGCGAGGGAAGGGGGAGCAAGTGCACGGGGTGGCACCTCCGGGCACAGCCGAGGGACACAGGAGCAGGTTTGGGCCAGGCGAACATTTCCAGGGGCCCGTGCATTTCATAGCCCTGCCCCCTCCTGCGTGACCTCCTCTGGCTTGGGCGCTCTGCCCTCCCGATGGCAGAAATCCATTTTCAAGGAGGACCCAAGATCTAACAGATATTCTGAGGTCTCTTAGGTATCCAGCCTAGGGTTCAGGCTTGGAGTCAGGTGTTTAAACTTTTAAGGTTTGGGGGTTTTTAACCTGTGGTCTCTTATGGCTAAGTCTAGGACTTCACTGTGGGCACTCGGGTCCCCGTCACTTGAACCTGCACAGGACTGCTACAAGCCCTCGCTCTCCTGCTTCTGGAGAGAAAGTAACCAAATGATCTGCATTTCCCTGAAAGGATAAAATGCAGAAGGCACCTATGACACCCAGCCTCCACAACAATTTTGAAAACCCCGGTACGCTGCCTAAGGGGGTTGATCTTTCAGGGTTTTTATGGGAGAGGTTGAGGTGATCACTCAGTTTTTTGATGTTGGGGTTGGCAAGGCAAAGCACAAGACTTGGCTGCTGTTAACAGCTTTCCACAGATTTCCAGAGAAGGTCAGTCACGCGGTCACCTTCACCTTTTCTCTGATGCTTCACATGATGATAATGCCTGAAGCAATTCCCGTATTTCCCACCCCACAGGAAATCTTTGTAACCCAGGTGCTCATAGGAAGGCACCCTTCCCAACACGCAAAGACACACAAGTTCAATGAAAGAAAAAAAACCCCAAGCCAGCTGAAGCCAGGCACGCACAACTACTTTAAATACAGAGCATATGTGTCAGTTTCCTGTATCCCGGTACAGTTCATATCCCTGCCTCTGCCTCATCCTAGAGCCTTGACCCACCAAAAGATTTTAATTTCACTGCACTCACCTACACTGAACATTTAGGCACTGCTAGCATCGCCAAAGACTTCCTTCAGGCCTCGCTTAACCAAAATAGTCCCGCACTTGCCAGCATTTCTGCCACCAGACAGGAGCAGAGCCCTCAGTCTGAGCAGCGATGGGCTCCTTGATACAAGCTGTCCTCTTGCCTCTTCACTAAACAGGACCAATCTAGCAGGTACTTTGCTGGATATACTATTTCAGGTCGAGGGGGAGCAAAGAGGATAATATTGGCGGTGTTGTCCACATCGACACGGGTTAGAACAGCTAACTGGCATGCAGGAAAATCCACGTTCAGATCTCTAGGGAAGCTAACATAAGCATAACCCAAATTTTCCATTGCAGTGCTGTGTGTAATGAATATTTAAAGCTCAACCACTGCAGTGGCTGACAGAAGGTTCCTCTTTGGGTATTTAACCTCTCAAAACTTAAGTTCCATCTCCCTCCAGCAATGTACTCAGTTCCCTTCCTCTTTAGCATGCTAGCTTTGGCTGGGAAGCATCTGAGCTTCCCCTCCGAGGAGAGACAAGAGCCACGTTTGACATGGATCTGCCAGAAGTGATGCTGGGGTAGAAAGACAAGGGGAGGACTGTCGTGAAAGTCAGCACAGAGATTGTATCAGCCGGCAAAGATGCTGGGCCCAGCAAGAAATCTTTTTGCAACCCATCATTTCTACCACCCCAGGCAGGAAAATGCGTTGTCTCTGCACCCGCACAGTGAAAAGCTTTCTGCTTTGGCTGCAGCTGATATGCAGGGGATCAAGTCATGGAGCACAAGAGAAACCTTCTCTGGGGGTTGACTAGGGCGGATTGCAGTAGCCCCAATCCCAGAACAACTTCTAACCCCACCCTACAACCTGCTGTGCTAGGTATCGTGCAACAGAGCTGGGATTTCTGTCTCATTTCTGGGGTTTACACCATCCCTGGCAGGAGCATCACAGCCACAGACAGCAGACAAGCAAGGCAATCAGCTTTAACGTTTTCTGCTTGGTCCTCAGCCCTCCCTCGCACTACAACACCCCAGCTGTGAACTTTTAACCCTGAGCTTATTCCAGATCGTGAGGCTTTACAGCAGACAAGTCATAGGCAGTAAATTCACTTTTCAGACACAATGGTGTCTATGGAGCTATTCCCCCCAGTGCTTTGCTGCAATTCACTTTCTGTCCACCTGCTGCTTTTCTGTCTGCTCAAATGTGTGTATCGGCAGTAGCAGCACGCTACGCACCTGTGGAAAGGAGAGAAAGGAGAACCAGCTGAAAAAAGGGAGACTGTGCGATGCCGTGAGAAGACCCAAGGATGCCTCCATAAGCCTCATCAGCCTATTTTGGAGAAGTACTGGATTCGCCAGCATTTCCTGAGAGCTGAAAGAAATCAAGGTAAGTAAGAGACAAGTAAAATGTTTGGGTTTGGGTGAAGGCTCTGGACAGTTTTCTACTGTTTCTGCCTCCTGCTTACTCACCGGAGCGAGGGACGCTGTGGCCACGAGCCGGGGCAGAGCTCCTCTGTGCAACACGTGTGCACGTGGCCAGTGGCATCTCCTCGCCCGCTGCCTTCAGCCGCTCCAGGGACGCAGCCGGGGCAGGTCCCGCTCGCTGCTGGAGCCCCGGCTCTGGCGTGGGGCTGGGACAGCAGCTCGCGGGTGCTACCACCAGGCACCCCAGAGGATTGTCTCCCCTTAACACAGGGCAGAAGGCAGCTGCAGGACACTTCTGGTGTCCTTTAAAAATGAAAACCAGCATCACCCGCACAGGGCTAAACTCTGTCATTGCAACCTTAATGCACAGTGAAATCAGCTCATTTTAAAATAAAGCTTGCTGATACAGCAAACAGCATGGTGCTGTCCTGGGTAGATATACAGCAAGAAAAATCCCAAGTGACACTTCTTGTTTCAACAGTAACACCCCAAACCGGCACCGGAGGGTCCTACAGCTAAACACAAAGATATCTTTTAGAGATCAAGGTAAAATGAAGGCGTGGCCAGTTGTCCTCCCTCACAACATCCCCTCCGCTTCCCTACACACCCAAAACACGGGCATTTGTCTGCCATGACTTCAGTCATCACAGATTTAAAAAGTAGCAAGGTGAAGGCTGGTTGAGCCAGTGGTAGAGCTTTGTTAATTCATGCCAGGCAGCAGCAGTGGCAACAGCTCAGTGCTCAGCCTTGCTGACTGCTCTGCAAATAAACCAAAGCCATCGTTCCAGCAAGGAGGTTACCACAGATCCCTGCCATAAAAGGAGCAGATGGCTCTTAAAATCTAACTGATGCGGATGACAAATGTAAGAATGACTAAATAAGAAACAGCTCACTTGGCTGATTTCTTATGCCGGCCCCTACTGCTACTGAAAAAAAAAAAATCACTCTTAACAACCTAGAGAAAAATAAAATCCAGCTAAATAGATGTCTAGGGTTTTTTTTTTAGATGTCTAGTTTTGCATTCCTATTCAAGTTGGTCTATTTTGCTGTTGGCTCTGCTCTTAGCAGGAAACTGGCCCTGAGGTACCAAACTGGAGATGAGGGACAAGTGTGGGTTTTGGGCTGCTAAACCTTCAGCTGGAAAACCACACTCACAAACACAGAATTTGCACCTCACTAAATAGCAGACTGTTATTCAAGCAGACAAAATTTTAAAAGTGACTTCCATAAGCTAGAGCCCAACTAATGGCAGACTGGCGTACACTAGCAGACCAAGTCTAGTCTTAGTGCAATTAAAATGGAATCAGATCTAGTTCTTCAGAGCCAAGATCTAGCTAACAAGCCTGCTCTGGAAACCAGTATTTATAATAATGCAGCAGCCTCCAATGTGTGGGAAGGTAAAACGCCTCACCTTTTTTTTTTTTTTTTTTTTTTCCGCAGGAAAAAGACGTTGGAGAAAGAGGCAGAAGAACAACACTTTACATTTTTGAGCAAATTCTTGCCTCTCTCCCATAAACCATCCTCCTCTGGGGACATCTGATGTGATCCAGAAAGAGTGGATTTTGTTAAAACTAAGGGAATCTTAACTTCACAGTGTAGAGAGACATACCAAGTATTTTCCAAACCTTTTGAAGAAAGGAAACAAAGGTAAGTCGCTTCCACCTTCTCCATCTTTTGTTTCACACATACACGTCCAAACAGAGGCAGAGTTTGCTACGCATGAGTTGAAAATTTAAGGTTTATTAGAAAAATACTTGATCTTTGTTAGCATTGCATATTCTGCACATCTGATTAAAATGCTTTGTATCACTTTCATTCAAATTAATGATTCGTTAATCACTTCTTCATGCAATCTTTGTAGTTAATGTACTTGTACAGAATGAGCACCCGTAGTGGAAGAAGATCCTACTGAGAGGCAGAGAGCCTGTTCAGGAAACATTACCTGTTTGTACTGGAAAGTCACAGAAGCAATGCCACAGCTTCACAGCTTCAGCAGATGTCCCAGATTCCCTCTTTCTCCACTGGAGATTTGGGGGGGGGGGGGATGGAAATCCAAAAGTCACCAACTAAACAGGCCACAAACCAAGCCTCAAAATCATGAATAGTTTCATTGACATCTGCCTCTACTCTAAATGAGGCACTGTTATTCCTTTCACTGCCACACATACAGATTCAAGAACTCTAATCAGATCCCTGGTTTTCAATGGCTGAAGGGCCAGTTCAGTTTATGGAGAAATCCCTGAGATTGCACAGAGCATTCAGCTCCTTTTGAATAAGGAGGAAAACTGACACGGTAGGTTAAGTTTTATATTTCTCAAACTACAAAGCTCACGCAATGCTTGTATATTCCACATTAACGGACAAAATAATGCTGTAAAAGCCAACATCTATCGTGCTATGCTTTGAAGGGGTTTAAAACAGAAGAGTTCAAATTAAAAGCATCTGAGGAAGTCTCTTTTCTTGGGGGAACAGAGGAGGCACTGGACTAAAAAGCCCTCATTTATCTTACTCGGTCCCTTTCAGAAGTATAAAATGGCATCAGTACTTTGGAGAATCTAATCAAAGAAAGAGGGGAGGAGAGAGAGGAAACTGATAGTGGTGTGTAGGTATGTCTTGTAACAAGAGACTGTGGGATTGATAATAGATGCTACCACTATGAACCACACGGAGGTGGCAGCATGTGTCTTGCTTGGTCGATCACAGCGCAGTTGTTCCCGACTGCATACTTTGATATTTTCCCCCAGCCTGCAATTTAACGTGCATCCATAGGAGTAGTGGCAAGCATCTCTACTCAGAAAGGTACCTAAAATCACTGTCTGTGGGGCTGATCTATCCACTGTCAGGGGAGTTGGAGATGCCTCCATATCCACCGAAGAACACTTCTACATCAGTACTGATTTTAAGAAAGTGGAACTGTACCCATCAGAGTTAGCCATGCAACACTCCAATCCTCCATGGAAAAACTAAAAATACCTAGCCACTAATAATTCTGGCATCAGATTGTGGTTAAGATCCTGTGTGTTCCTTAACCGAAGGCTCCTGCACTCTGAAGAATGAATTCAGTGATGATTACTCTACTTCTTCCTGATCCAGTGAAGTCAAAGCCTTCTCCTGTAACATAGAAAGGAAACTTACAATTATAAAAGCAATGAGGACCCTCATCCTAATTTCAACTCTGCCAAGGTCAGCCAGTAGGTTTGCCAGTAGGATTTTCTGACTTGACGTGCTACCTATTCCAGTAGACATAGGCTGTACCTCTGCTGAACGTTTCCATGCATTTAACGAAGCACAAAAGGACTAGGATCTAAGGGCAGACTGCATGAACTGCTCAACTGCTATGCTGTCCCCAGAACCTGCCAACAGCACGCTTCAATGGTGAAGTAAATGATTAGGGTGAGAGTGAAGTTTCCTGGTGTTTCTCCCAGCCTTCAGCTATTTGTGGTGGAGAGACTGGCTGTGCCAGGCATGGTGTTTTATACTTAACTGCCCGCCAGGAATATCTCCTAATGATTTTTGGACCTACGTGAATAAAAAAACTGCAGCATAGGAGATGTTTTGTAGCCAATAATTCCACAGCTGGATTACACTCTGTGTTAAAGAATATGCAGTTTGGTTTGGTTTGCATCTGGCCCATGTTAGTTCTGTGAAAGTGTGCTGCTCCAAGGTGCCTTAGGTTATGCACAAGCCAAGGGAGACAAAATGCATACCCAGCCACCCTGGTCCTGAATCCATGGCCTGAAGTGTTCTCTGAGGTACTTTAACCCGAAGCCCAAGACCAGGTTCATAGGATGGTTGTCCACAGCAGTAAGTCTGGTAGCAACTTCCATTGTAAAGGCAACTTTTGTGAATTGTACTTGGTCTGTTGTCTCGCTTGTTGAATCTGCTGAGACATCCTCCAGGAACAAATCAGTGATCCTCTTGAAGAAGGTGTAGGACAGCATGCCTTGAAAATGCTGATAGAAAACCCTGTCCTTTTTGATCTGAAAATAAGAATAAGGATTGGTTAAATTGAGCCACTTTTGACAGAATTGCTTTTGCCATCTTACTGGGAAAGGAGAGCATCTCTAGGTGATACATGCAATATAGTCTAAACGTGGTGGTAAATGCAAGAGAGGACACAGAAACCCTGCACCTCTCTGCAAAGCTGCACCTTCAGGCTCAGGAGGTGGCTCTATGTTTTTTTCTCAAAAAAAATCTTCAGCTTTTTTGCGTTTGAATGAGAGAAGCAGAGAGAGAGAAAGCAAAACAAGCATGACACTGATATTGAGACCTGCAGGTGAGGAGACATGGGAATACAGGAGCAGTGGGAAGATGACAGTAAGGGCAAGGTTATGAGAAATGCTGGCAACAGCTGCCATGCTAAGCTCCTTTTGCTCAGGCAGTCTTTGTGATGCTTCTTACACTGTGTCTGGGTACCTCTCTGTTGCTGGAGCTGAGCACATCCTCCAGGTTGGAGTATACCTTTATAGAGCAGAAGGGGCAGCTAAAGAAGGGAGTAAAGGGAACAAGGACCTATATTTTTAATAGAGAAAACATGCACTCCAACTAATGGACTCATGCAGGGGTTCCTCTATAACTTTTCAGCAGGACTTTCTAAACTGCATGCAGAAGATTTATTTCCCTTTCTGTACAGCAACTCTCAAAGCTGTAGAGTTTCCCTCCGTCCGCTGGAAATAACTTCTATGTCAAAATTAATGCGAACACGAGTTTCTGAGAGTCAGTCAAGTGCTCAGCGTCCCAGGAAACTCAGTGGAAATGATGTGAGTGACTCCTCTTTGAAATGCACCTTTTTATTGTCTTCCTCCCCCACCCCAACAGTTATCTGCTAGTCCATTAGTCTTAAGAAATATTTCAGGATGAATGGTGAAAGTTTCAGAAAGCCCTAAATGTGGAAAGAGAAGTTCAGGATAGAGACGGAGCGTGCTAAGTTACAAAACATTCACTCCCAAGAGAAGTGTAATCTCTCACCCTCTAGCCTGTGTAGCTCCTGAAAACAGGAGGAGTTACCTTTTCTTCTAGTCGGTCCCCTGATTGTCTTAACAGTGCAACTATTGTTTCTATTATCTTTTCTTCATCTGTTAAAGAAAAGAGTAACATAAATATTGCAGCCTTCTAGTAGGATCCAGATAGCAAACTATGGCAAAAGCCTTTGTGTCACTTAATCATGAAAACAGCTGCTATTTTGTGGCAAATTCAGAGTTGTGTATCCAGATTTTAAGATAAGGCTCACTGTTCTAGTCTGTGTGGAGTAAGCAATGCTATTTCTCCATCTGCCCAATGTTTTGCTCCAGTTAAGAATCTGGGAAAGAGCAGGGGCTTTAGCATCCCACTGCCAGCCCTTTGGGCTTTGAGGTATGTCTGATAACAAGCCAGAACAAAAGAGCAGCTAGTGGAAGCCCACAAAAATGAACTTAAAATTAGAGGAAAAAAAAATATAATCCCTTCACCACTACCAATTACACCTTCTGTAACTCATTATGACAAACTCTGGGTTTGCTGGACTAAAGAAAGTGCAAGTATGGCAGGATCCTTCTTGTAACCAGAAATCCCTTGAATGCTTGCATTGAAACTACATTTCTGCAGGCACTATAAAAGACAAGCAGTTCAGACTTCTAACACAGATTGTTGAGCAGTGTTGTCCCATCACTGAAGAGGGACTGGCCAAGACATTAGTGCCCCAATGATTGATCTTTGGCTTTTCTGCCCCCGTGTATTACTCTGCCCGCAGCCCTCCCACTCCTACTGCTGCTCTGTCACTTTGCGTCACTGCCTTCATCCTCCTTTCTTCACATCACACCTCCTTGGATTTTTAAGGATGCTCCCATCAATTGCAGTAGCAGTCAAGACTTGTTAGAGGACTGCAAGAGCGGTCCCTGAAACATGGGCAACAGAGCAAGAACCAGCAGAGCAAACTTCCTTCTTCGCAGCATCCTACCGCCGAAGTCCCGAGTGCTTCACCATGTCTAGAGAAAGCCTCAAGGTGCAACCCCAACCCGACATACTGCTTGTGAGCATGAAATACTTCACCCTTACCATGTTCCTCGCCCTCACGTCCATCAGCAGGATGGCTATCATCTTGTTTCTGACATGGGGCATGATACACTATCTTGAATGACACATCTGAAGGAGATTCCTGGGATCTGGAAGTAACAAGCTTGGCAAGTTTGTCTGCAATGTGGTTAACATCTGCTGTTTCACCTGTTTGGGAAGGAGGGTGGGAAATAAAGACGGCAATTAATCTTTCCAGGAAACAATTCAGTGATTTACTCATTTACATGGTCCCTGAGGTGGAAGTGCTCAGAGGTTATGAAGAGATACATGCTGGGGTTTTGCTATTGCTTGTGATCATCTGATGATAATTTAGAGAGACAAGTAACACAGTATAACCCCTCTCTAGTATCCCAGCAGCAGCTGGCTATACAGAGGCCATACAGAAGCAAGTGTGAGTGTTGTTCACTAGCATACATCCTTGCAAGCGAGAAGCACACCATGTATTAGGAAACATGAGAGTACTGCTCTATAGGACTGTGAATCTTAGACCTTAGTTGTGTTGCCCGTGATTAGTTCATCTATAGGTCCGAATTCAGAAAAGATGACGTATTTGAATACTCCTTCCTTGCTCTCACAGGCTAATCCTGAGATAAGAAGAAGCAGACTTCACTTCAGAGGCACCTCTAGCACAAAAGTTTCTTGTGTCCTTGACACTGTTGTATTAAGCAGACATGAATATCGGGAGAACTCAGCTGAGTAATGACCCTCACTGGCTGAAGGCATCGCTTGGTGAGGGCACTCCAGTGGGGATCCTGCTAGAGAAGAGACAGCAGGAGGAGCTGTTGCAAGGTTGTTAAATCTAAAAGGTGCTACTCCTTACAATTCGCCTCACAGACCTTGGGATGCAAAACTTGGTCTCACCACCACCACTGCCAAGTGACAGCTCCTGAATGACCAGCAGATATGCAGACAAGATCAGCAGTAGCCTGACCCATAACACGTGTAAAATTCACGAGCAGAGTTTATTGTGGGGGCAGCGGGGGCTAATGAAGCCAATAAAATCCCCATCTCAAGGCTAGTGAACCAACCCCAAGACATTTCTATCCCCTCACCTGCCTGCAGAGCTTGTCAGGGAGCTGCTAAATTTCTTGGAAGGGGATCAGCCTGTTCATGACCTTGGAAACCTAAGATTAGGCAGCTGGTTTAAAATTGAACAGGCCTTCCACGTAGATGGGAAATCCACAATAGCACACCCATTTGCTCCAGAATGGCCCGACCAAGCTTGCAGCGCAGCTGCTAGCATTGTAAGTGATAAATAATAATACTATTGTTTTAGGAATTGGTCCAGCAATCTGCTGAAGGGCAGGTACAGCCCAGATTTGAAGCCCAGTAGGATTCCCAGGGAGGTTAACACCCAGCACAGGGAGGTTTTACCTCAAGGCCCTGCTGCCATCCATGCTGCAGGGAACATGGTGACACATTGGCAGGGCCATCAAGTGATTGCACCCAAACTCTCAAGCACGTTCCCTCACAATGTGAAAATAAAATGAACATAAAACCAGGTATCTGGATGCACACATATGTCCCTGGCCATCAAAAAATGGAAAGTTATAAGTTATTTCCCCCTAGCAAAAGGCACTGGGCTGAGGCAGGGAGCCTTTCCTGAGAGACAGAGCTGGATTTGGCATCAGGGAGAGTTAAGGGCTTGGTGGGTAGGAGCTGGCCCAGACAGTTAAATTGATCAGGGATGGGGCACTAGGCTGGAGAAGTCAGTGATGGATAATTTTTAGAAATATCTTTAAGTGCAGTAAAAGGAGAGAGCAATCGCTGTGACACCAACAGTATCGAGCTGGGACAAATTAAACAAACAATCCCCTACCTTAAATATATATGAAAACAATATGGCAACCTATCATATACTGTACGTGGCAACTTAATGGGGATACTTCATCCTCCTCTCCCAGTCTTGTATGAGAAGTTAAAATATTAGTTATGATCCAGAGCAGAGAAGGTAAAATCTGCCTGCAGTGTAGCACCTGGTGCGGGGCAGGATTTGGGGGCTGGGGTACAAGATGCTTGTGTGGATGGGATCCCCGAATGTCGGATGGATTGCAGCCGCCTACTGCCTCTTCTCCCAACACACGGGAGGGCAGGTTCAGACTTAATATAATAGGAACATGTAAAGGAGACTTAGATAACTCTGGAAGACTGGTTCTTCCACTTAAGATGCATGGTGGGGTTATGAGAGGTGTCCCAGAGACACGGTCTGCTCTGTGTTTGAGGCTGGTCACTGCCAACTGCTTGGCACCAGAGTTTCAAACGGAATCTGGCACTTCCGTCTTTACTGTGGAATATTTATTGCATGATAAATCTCCTTGAATGGGCCTTCAAATAACTTCGCTTCCTTGATTTTTAGTGTGGAGGTCTTCAGTCTGACAAGTGTTTTGTTTTCTTTCTAGCCAGGTGTGAAAAAAAAAAGCCAACACTTGTCAAAAAAAAACCCATCCTGTGCAATTGCTTGGAAAAAACCCAATCTGTGCAATTATACAATACCTGCCACCTTACAATGGAAAAGAGAAAAACCAGTCACAAGCATGAATCTTCTGTGTGCAAGCACTACTGAAGATCTGGCAGTCTGCCTTCCCAATTAGAAATCAATAAATCTAGCCTAAGAGGTGACCAGAAAGTGAAAGAAACCACCTTCCTCTTCCTGCTTTTCCACAGGCCACCAGCCCTTTAAGCTATTTAGAGAAAGAATTAAAGACACAAAGCAAAAGGAAAGAACTAAGACATACTTGTTGGATGCTGAGAATTCCCTTGTGGAAGGCTTTCAGATTGTGCCTCAGGAATGGTGAAATGTGCCGTGTGACTTCCTTGTGGTAACACCACTGGGGGCTTTTCCTGCTCTTCTCTGCTGCAGAGAAAAGGCAGACAAAAGGCAGGCAAGCATTTCGTTTTCGCTTGCTCTTTGCTGTGCTGTTGCATCATGACACCCTGATAAACTAATATTTGACTTGGTCCATCTTTGTCCCTTTGATGGTCAACCTTTCCTTGTCTCCTGATTAAGGATGATGATTTCTTCACATTAGCCTCATTTTTCAGAAGTTTCCCATATTTACTGACAGACAACCGCCGCTGGGCATAGGCCATTAGGATCTTGTATTCTATGCTGTCTCGCTCATCATCTTCCAGTGGTATTTCTTCCATACTGACATCATTTGGTGAAGACATCTTGGTTCCTGCAAGAACATATTCTTAGTTTTAATGGTTTAGGGAACAGCCTGTTTTTCATTAATACCAACCTGAATTTGACATTTCTACAGAACCTTTCACCAAACTAAACCTTGGTGATGTGAACAATATTGCAGTACCCAGGAGCCAGAGAAGCAGTTTTCTAGGAAGAGAATTTGGTTACTGAGAAATACCTCAGGTGGGAATCCAGACCATCAAAGAATGGGAACAAGTGATCTGATACATTGCTCTTAACTGCATTTGGTGATTTAGACAGGAAAGATGAAGAAATTCAAGGACTCTTCAATGGTCAGGGTGCAGTGCATGAAAAGAGGAAAGCCCGTAACAGTAATAACTGATTCTTGAGATGAAAAGAGAAATGATTCATCAAAGCACTGCAAAGGAAAAGCCGATACTGTGGCTCAGATAAGAATTGTGCTTTCAGAGGAAGCTTTGACAAATGCAGGCCCTGAGTACTCTAGGTAGGAAAGCAAAGAAGAACTAGCCCAAACATTAGGAAAAATTATTTCATTTATCTATCATAATGTTCTCAACCATCCTTTTACCTTAGGGCATGCCAGTCAGCAATCTTGTGTGTTTGACTCTGTGCAATGGATGGCGTCGTGGTACCTACCTAGTGTACCTTCTTGTCCAAATAAATATACCAATCCCACAGCACGCACATGCATTTTGCCACCTTCCTGTTTCCCTACGCATCGTAGCTCGTCAAGCCACAGTGCAAAACACTCTGAAACCTTTGCTTAGCACAAGACCCATTTGCCACCCAGCCTCCTGGAAGTCAGAGCAACAAGAGGAAGAAACGGGGGTGATCACCTGTGATGCAGCGACCTAGCTGCTGTGCTTTTTTTTTATTCCCGAAAAAGTGCCTTCTGCAGAGCCCAGGCGAGGTTTGCGCAGGCAGCCCTGACCACTGACAGCAAGCTCCCTGCAATGCTTCTCTTCAATGACCCACACAAATTCGAACAAAACTCCTGCACATACCCAGAACCTGTCACTGGGGTCTCTGCTTCTGACAAGCTGAAACAGGAGGCTTCTGTCCCCCACTGCCCTCTCTTAAACAAGTACCAATTCACTCACACTATGCCCTCAGCCTGACAGAAACAATTTTAAGCTGATTTCTTCCTGTCTGGAATATCAGTCAGCTATTCACTGCTTTGAATGCAATGCTATTGCTTATATGTATCCAACAGGACGTTTAAATCCTAAGCATGGAGACTCACATTTGGGAGTTAAACACACACCACAGAACCCCTGGGTCCAAAGGAGACTCAGTGGGAATGGGGTGCCTTGCTCCCCATGTATTTTTAATTTCTGCCGTTGGGATAAGAGCAAGCTGTCCCTCCTAATTCCCAACAACTGGGCAGCTGTTCTGTAGGCGGCAGGTTTCTAGCACAGCCTTATTCTGCAGAGGTCTCCAGGCACAGCAGTGCTGTAGGAAGGGATTTGGGTATCCTGTCTCTTCACAGGTGCTGGGAGGCAAGGCTCAGAGGCAGGGAGATTGCCAGGCTGCTTTTGGATTGCAAATCACCTGTCTTTACTGTGCAGAGGTCTGAAGTCACCAGCTGCTTTCTTCAAACTCCAGAAAACTACAAGTTGCTGCATTATGATCCATCTATTCATCACCCTAAAACTTCCTTTTTCCTAAGCATGAGGTTGAAATAATCATATATGTACGTATGAATAAGTCATATATGTATGTATAAAGCACCAGATCTTCATCTGGTGTAAACCATCCTAGGCCCATGAAAATCCCTGGGAGGATACTAGCTCGTCTTCAGCAGAAGTCTGGCTTTAAACTGCTGAACACCTTTATCTGGAACAGACACCTCACTTCACATGTATCTCATTTCACTACTCATACATAACGCATACCATCTGTCTTCTGGATATAGGTGGAGTTAGGACTGACATGCTTAAAGGGAGTTAACAAAAAAGTTTGAAGTCACTGGGTAGTCAAAAGATTTCTCTGCCCCAGAAAGTTATGGAAAGAAACAAAGCTCAGCTGATTTGTCACCTTGTTTTCAATACTACTTTTATTGTAAGATTTTAACTTCACTTTGGTTAAGTTTCACATTTGAAACCTTTTAAGTTAAAAAAAAAAAAAAAAGGGTTGTGGCACTCTGCTGTTTGGCCATTAGCTGCAGAAAGCAACCAATATAACAAAACTTAGGTAAGCCACTTACTTCTACCATGCTAAATTGGTTTTTGGTGGTGCTGAAGAGACAACAGAACATATAAAGCCCCCAAACCCCCCTTATCAAATGTATAAGCATCAGAAATTAGACCAACTCCAAACCCATGGCTTACATGTACTCTTAGTTCAGTATTGTCCTTACTGGGGAAGGGGATGAGGAAAGAAAAGGGAAAGAAGGAGAGGAGGAAGGGAAAGAAGAAAGGGGAAGAGGTGAGGAGGAAGAAACCTGGGAGTGTCAGTCCAACGCAACAGTTCCTCTAACCTTGCACTGCTAAATGTATCTATGCAACTCACAGTCTGCATCCCATTTTAGAGACTCTATTTTTCCCCCAAGAGAAAGGGCTGTTCCAGATGCTGATCTGGAATGTCACTGCATTCCACTTTCACTTAAGAACAGCCACTAAAGAAATTAAAATGGGAATTGTGTAATAGGGAGAAGCGGGGGGGGGGGGGGGGGGGGGGGGCCGGAATTGAGAAACCACGCCCCTCCCCGCCACCCCCCAGCACATCCATTGGTAGAGAAAGGAAAGATTACTTGTTTATCTCTCAGGGAACTGCTATGTTAAGTCCATGAGTGAGCCAAAATGTAATTTTCCAAACGTGTTCAAGTTAAGCTATTGACACACCACCACCCCAAGCCTCCAGCAGCCTGTCTCAAACACACGGCAACAGCCTCTCTGAAATTTTCTTCCCAGTGCAAGCCTGGGTGTCAGCTTGCTCAGCTTCCTGCTAGCAGCGTGCTGCAATTTAATGTTTAGAAATCTATACTTCACTTCATGTGGCAAGACATCTCACTGTGCTTGGATGAGACTTTTATCTCAACAGCATCGAAGGTACAAGAGGCTATGTTGGCTTCGGACAGCCTGCTGGGCGTCAGCAGAAGCCCTGTCCTGCGAAGGGCTCAGGACTGCTCTGAGACCTCTTGCTCACAAGGTCATGCCAAGGAGAGTCCCTGTTCGCTGGCCACAGCCGGGGCAGTTTGGAGGCTGCGGGTGAGGGTGCAAGTTCCCCTTCTCTTGCTGGCTGCTGCCTTGAGATACTCAAAGGGTCAACAGGAGCTTTGAACCTTCTCACAGCATTCGTGCAGGCCGCTTTAATGAACCTGCAAGGGAAACCGAAAGCCCAGCAGGAAAAAGTCAGCGAGAGACTGTTACAAGAAACAAACCAAGTGGAGAAAAAGAAGTGGGAGCTAGAAATACAGAGAACACAAAGGCAAAGTGAAATGATGCAAGACAGGCACAGGGCTGCTGGTGCTTCGTTGCTGCGCCTAGGAAGGGCGCGCTGATGTGCCAACCACCCTCGGGATGCAGGGGAGCAAAGGCAGCACCTTTTCCGTGCCCCCTGGTAGTCTGAGATCAGATTCCAGTGCAGACCAGAGCCGCTTAAAGAGCGTTTTAAGCTGCAATGCGTTTCTCAGTGTCTCCACTACACCGAAAGCAAGGCTACAGCAGAGCCCTTCAGCTAGTCAGTGAGCCCAGGAACAGGCACTTCCCATAGCCCCAGAAACCAGACCAAGCATTTATTTCATTTTGAAGTTTGTCCAGAAAGAGAGGGAAAATTTAAAGGCTATGCCATTCTTCTTCATTATTTAATACTTTATTCAAACTCAAGTTCCTCCTTGAAAAGATCTAACCTCGCCCTTCAGATCAGACACTGACTTTACTTAAAACAGCATAGCTTTCGCCACCACAGGTACTCTTTATACATCTAAAATAATTTGTGTAACATTCAGATTCACTAATTTTTCACTAATATAAAAAGACAAATAATATAAAATATATAAACTATATAGTAAAATAACTATATATAAAATTATAAAATAATTATACAAAATAATATAAAAATTCATTCCCAAGGAGCAAGAGGAATTACCAGTAGTAGCATTAAAAGACCCTTACAGCCCTGTACGCTGGGCTATTACTTATACATTGAAAGCAGTCCTACCCAAGGTGTCTGTACAGATAAAAATCAAATAAGAGTTCAAAGGTTGGTCTCCTAAACAAGGGCTAAGTGCAAACCGATAGCAGGAGGTAGAGTATTATTACAGCTTGCTAGTGCACAACATCAAATACGCACTTGCACATTGGATGCAGCTGTACAGCTAAGCCTGCACCTTGCTCTGACGCGGAACCTCTGAGAAATGAAACAAATTATGTTGGTAAAAATGTGGTATAGGAGCTTCCTTACTGGGACTTTTCTGAGCACCGATGTCTCGGTAAGAAATCTCACACCTGTGTATACAACAAGGCCGGAGGAGCCTAAAAAGTAAACAAGGAGTCACAGTTTATAGCTCATTTATGCCACTACTTACAAATAGCAAGAAAAGGAGATATCACCACATGCTGGCGAGCATTTATAAAGGAGACTGCCATTGGCTAACTTGTTTTTCAGTTAATTTTAAAGTTTGAAATCTTAATTGGTGCCTTAAATCTTTCTTTAGACTTACTTCTTCATACTATAACGATGTTATTTTTCCAATATCCCATCTGGTGTGGGCCAGAGATGACCCAGGCCTTTTGCGGAAGCAGCACTCATTTAGCATGAACTCTCTCTCAGAAATTAATTTCTATAAAGAGTATTTTTTAATGTAAGCATGATTTGGTTTGACAAGTACTTGGAAGTCCTGCTAAAACCCAAATCTGCATATTATTTCATAGGGTGATTAAAAGAAACTTGGATGATCAGATTATGGAGAGCAGCAGCATGGTCTCATTCTGTCTGCTTAAAAACTCTGGTCTAAATTATTTATCTTCTGGAGCTCGCAGGCTCTGAGGGAGCAGTGTTA